ATTACAATAAACTATGCAGAATGCTTAATGATGCTGCAAATAGCTTTATTTTATACTGGGCCAAAAAATGTAAAAAGATTACTAAAGAATTAAAGAAATTGTTTTGTGAGTTTCGATGGATTGGGCTATTTTTATCTGGTATGTAACTCAGTAAATTTGTTTTAGTTAAACGTATTATAATATCATTATTAATTTTAGATAGAAAGCTTAATTTAATGATATACCAAATATGTGAAGAAACCAAGATTTATTTCATTACATATCTAAATTCTTATTCCGTTTCAATCCCGATCTCAAACATAAATCATGATATGGCAAGCACATTAGAAATATTTTTACAGATTGAGGTTAATATCAATAGTAATAAATATTATTTTTACAATATTATTATTTTCTTCATTGATTTGATTAAATTTTTAGAACATTTTTCAAATGAACTTGAAAGTGATAGAAAAAATTCAAAAAATCGTAGATAAAATTAATGTTGAAGAATCTGAAAATTTTGAAACACCTCTAAAATATCTAAAGAAGGTCATTGGTGAAACACCTTCTACCCCATATAAATAATTTTTTAGTTCTCTTAATAATAGTTGTAATATCTAAAATGCTATAAGAATTAATTTGTATTGATATCAAGCATGATGTTTCTAAAAAATGCAGATTAGTTCAATAAAAGGAACTTTACAAACGAGTGTTAATATTTACTTTAATTCGTGTATTTAACAAAAACCTTTTTAAGATTACAATATAGAAATATTACTAAGAATAGTTGTGTTTGTAGTCGATTTCCAAACAAGTGTTAACATTTATTTTATTTCGTGTATTTAATAAAAAATTTTTTTAATTACAATATATAAATATTATTGAGAATAGTTTTGTTTGTAGTCGATTTCGCATTAGTTGATTTTATCAAAAAATCGACTTAGTCAATTTTCATTAAGTAACCAGTCATCAGCAAATTATATAAATGTAATCTTACGTAAAATATTACGGCCCGTAATATCGCGCAAGAATTACGGTCTGAACATAATATTGCACAATTTATTACGTAATATTATGCAATTTATTACGGAGTATTACGCAATTTATTACGGAGTATTACGTAATTTATTAC